TATATAATTATTTACCGCTTAATATGGAGAACTTGATAATGGGCTGAATTTTGCAGGCCACATTTTGTTTGATGTCAACTTTTATTGGTTTAGATAATGGATGTCCCTTTGACAAGTCTTCTGATATGTCGCTGAAGCTGAAAATATACAGATTTTTTATTCCACGTCAATTTTTCATCTGTGCAATGAACGCTCAAAGAACGACAACAAAAAACATCCAACATTAACACAGACAAAACTATAGTGTGCCTATTTATTTACCAAACTCAACCAACTATTAATTTTTTTCTCATTTTTTTAATATTTTTTAAATCGCAGACACACTTATTTATTTTTAGGACAAACTATTGTATTGTTAAATTTAAAATTACATTTTACTAACTTTTACTATAATTAACAAAACTTTTTTAGAAAAGTTTATGTTAATGCCAGATCTAAATAATTATAACAAAAATAGGTTTCATACATAAACAACATTACAGCAACAAAATAAAATATTCCCACGACGAGGTGTAGCAGCAGAAGTAAGCCGTATTCGGGAATATCCTTGATACTTTTAACGGGGGGTAGAGACTGCAGAAACACCCGTTTTAGTCCAAGCTTGGACATATATTGGACAAATTGAGTGAGTTAATTAAATTGGCAATGTGTGTATACGCTTTACTTTCTGTGCTGGGGTACCGTAAGTAGACCTTTGAAAACACTCTAATTCAAAAATACTGCACTACCTTTATATCCCAGGTTGAAAATGTTGCTTTTGCCTTTGCCAATTAATTGGAACTATATTACATATACATTGCCCAAACAGGTTGTGTTACTAGATGAACGCCATATTTCTAAATTTGTAAATTAGTAGACAATTTTACTTCAACACTTACCAGCGCATAGCAAATGACCCCAGCGGGCACAAACTGTACCCAGTTCGTATTATTAATAATAAAAAGGTAATGGTCACAGACATCATTTCCGATATTTCGGCTGCTAAAATTGGTGAATCTGTCATAGTCAAGTCAAATTACGTCAAATTTTCACGTCGCATTAAGGGACACATTAAAAAACAAATTGCATCTTTAACCATAAAGTACGCTGAGCTAAAGTTTTCGCATTTGTAGAATATATAAAAAACTAATTGAAAAAATGTTTATAGTAGTATTTTGATTGGTCTTTTGTTTTGATTGGCCGAGGTGTAAGGTTTTTGCAGGGTAGAATCACATTTTCACCTGACTAAAATAAAGACAAGACAAAAATAATAAATAAAGCTATAGATATTATTTAAAATTTGTTTGTTTCCGAAATAAAATTGTTGAGAATTGTCATGGAATATGGAAGTTGTATTAATAATCTGTATCTGTTTAATGCTCTTGTAACTAGGTTAACGGCAATATTAAAAATTCTAGGAAGGCTGCAAAAATAGTTAATTTGCATCCAATACGGTTACAATGAAAAGGTAAGATCATTAATTGGACAACACATTCTTGTTCAACTTATTTTATTATAGATTTCTAAAGCAAAATAGAATAATGAATGGATGTTTTTATTTGCTATGCTGTTAATACAGGAACTTTTAAAGCCAACATTAACAAATGTACGCAGGCGCGGTCATTTCAGATTTACATGTGAAGCAGTACACTCTTAGATATTCAACATTTAGCAGCTGACAGACCTCGAACAGCATCAACGATTGATTTCCAGGCACTTAACCCTTACTTACTCATTTAATAATGTAAAGTGGTATTTTTTCGTTTACAATGACAGGACTTATTGAAAACAAGATGTGAAATGAACTCGCTTGCGCTTATTATCCCTTCTGATAGTGGCTTCCAAAGAATATTCAGAGCCTCTTCATATCTATGGTTTTATATTATTAGCAGTCCCTATATTATCCAATAGGTGTATCGCATAACTGAATTTCAAAGCGTAGAACTTATGGGGTTGCATTGGACGCCTCCCCAGGTGGCGGATAGGGGAACGCTCAGCAGATATGCTGGGTATCGGGGAAATAAAATACCCGGGGCGTACCAAAACTAGCATGACATAGAGCAGCAGCTGTGTCATTACTGGACTGAGGCTATTGAAGAAGGACTTTACTAAAGATTCAACGAAAGAAACTCCGAGGCGGCAATCAGGTATACGATTTCACCGGGTGGGATACTGCGCATGGAAAGGCAATGGTAAACCACCATGTAACATAATACCCACATCTACCTATAGTACCTATATATACCTATAGTATAAATCTAACATGGCAGAGACAAATAAAACAATGGGCTTCAGTCGCCGGCAGGATGGTCAGAGGCTGCTAAGAATCCCCGGGTTGCGTATTAAAATTGTACCTGGAATGTTAAAACTATGTATGAGGCAAGAAAGATACGCAATGCCATAATAGAGAAGGATCGACTCTCGATAGACGTCATGGGAGTCAGTGAGATGCGCTGGACCGATTCCGGTCAATGTAGGATAGAAGATCATATAATATATTACTCAGGAAATACCATTGGACAACACATTAACGCAGTAGGGATTATACTAAATAAAAACATCGTTAAACATGCTACAAATTACACCCCAATATCGGAGAGGATAATAGTCATTCAAATCAATTCCTTCCCTGTCAAAACAAAGGAATTGTTTTATGATGATCTAAACAAAATAGAGTCTCTCCAGAGGAGCGTGGAGATCGACTATGTAGTTTTGCTATAGAAGAACAGATGGTAGTCACTAATACTTCCTTTAAATTACCGTTAAGGCTACTGTACGTAAGTGAAAACGTATACCGGTGCCGACATTAAGTAGGACCATAACCCATTTGTTGCCGAAACTTATACTAAAGAGGATAAAACAGAAAAAAGTTAAGACGTATGACCTGCGACAGCTGAGAAACGAGGACACAAAGAACAACGTCCAATATAGAAGGCAACATCAAGAAGCTGCAAGGAATCAGTCAGCAGGTAGTTAATGGATTTCTGCAACCAAAAAGGGTAAAGAAAAAACCATGGATGACCGACAGCATGCTATACATGATGGAAAGTAGAAGGAAAGCTAAAGACAGGGACAGAGAGATAAAAAAGTCTATTAGAAAAGCAAAAAGTAGATTACTAGAGAATAAGTATGACTCGTTTAATCTGCACAAAAAAGTCAAGGAATATAATGGTCAGAGAACAACTAAAGCCCATTGGAAACACTACGTAGAGAATACTTTTAAGGATGACAGAAACAGGGTTTCACCCAATGCTGAATAGAATGGTAAAAGGATGGTAAAACACCAGGTCCCGACAATTTTTACTCAGAGTTCCTGAAACTAATGGACGAGGAACAAATAAAATGGCTAACAACAATATTTAACAGTACCTACAATTCAGGAAAAATCCCTCGAAGCTGGTTAAAGTCAACCTTTATCGCTCTGCCGAAAAAACCAAACGCTAGAAAGTGCGAATTAGAATGATTAGTATAATAAGTCACGTTCTTAAAACTTTCCTAAAAATAATCCATAAGAGTCTACAAGAAATGTGAGGAACAAATAACTCGCACACTGTTCGGCTTTCGAGACGCATTGGGTACACGTGAGGCAGTCTTCGCGGTTCAAGTTCTGTTCCAGCGCTGCAGGGACGTCAACAGCGACATATATGTGTGCTTCATCGACTGTCAGAAAGTTTTTGACAGAATAAAATATGAGAGTTGGTCAGACTAGATGAAAAAGACCTCAGAATAATCGAAAACATATATTATAATCAAAAAGCAGCTGTCAGAATCGAATACTAGTTGACGGAGGAAATAAAGTTAGAGAGAGGGGTTCGACAGGAATGTGCACCCCCTTTACTTTTTAACTTCTATTCAGAATAAGTTATGAATCTGTCTTTGGATGACGTGGATGAGGGAATACTCATAAAGGGTGAGCGGTTGCATAACATCAGGTACGCAGATGATACTATCGTTTTCGCGGATGGTCTGCAGGCGCTAATTACACGTATCGCAGATTCCAGCAAAGAGTATGGCCTTGACTATACATAAAAAAAACGAAATATATGGTTATCAGTAAGAATAATATACCACCGGGACAACTACTGGTTAATCAACAACCAATCATTCGCGTCTCAAGTTACGTTTACCTAGGAATGAATGTTAATGACAGATGAGATCATTCAGTTGAAATCAGATAGACGATAGAAAAGGCCCGATCAGCATTTACTAAAATGAACAACATTTTTAAAAGTCACTCTCTACCACTAAAAATTAAAATCCGTTTGCTCCGATGCTACGTGTTTACGGTTCTCCTTTACGAAGTTGAATCCTGGACATTGACAGAGGCGTCTAAGAAGAAACTAGAGACTTTTGAGATGTGGTACTATAGATGTATCATGAAAATTTCCTGGGTGGATAGAACCACCAACGATGAGGTTCTTCGCAGAATGGACAAGGAATGCGAAATCATAAATAACGTAAAGAAGCGGAAACTGGAGTACTTAGGTGACATTATGCGCAGCGAACAGCGTTACGGTCGGTTGCAGCTTATTCTGCTGGGTAAGGTCTTGCAACCACAGGAGTTTTCAAAGCAACAGTCGACAAGATTAGAATAGCCATGCCAATAGCTAGTATTCGAAACGAATTGGCACCTTATGAAGAAGAAGCGTAGAACTTGACTTTCTGAACCAAATCGTCAAATCGTGGATTCATTCAATCGCTACAGGCATGGCAAAAAACCATTAGTAAATGTTTGTTTATTTTGACTCTCAATTTCGACCCATTTTTATGAATCGTCGCGTCTCCTTTGGATATAATAGATTTTATGATTAAAGAAATGCATTGTTTTTATAATCCACCTTCCCAAGCCCACCTATGCTCAGAAATTCAATTACATTTGTGTACTATATTTGGTTTATTCGTTTAAGATTGCGGAAGTAATTAAAGTAATGATGGGTCTCCAGGCTGAAGGGAAGATATTGAAATTACTGTAAACAAGATATTTCAAAATACGTTTTTATTTCCAAAACTATATTCATCAAACTCATAATTACACAATTAGATTCAATTTTCTTAAACACTATCTAAAATCAACATTTATTTATTATTTATTATTTTTTTAACATGAAGAGTTGCAGCAAAGTTTGGTCTTTTCGCTTCATTACGCACAAAACATAAACAAGAGGCAAAAGCTGATCACAATAGACCTTCGTGTCCAAACAAACAAAAATTTCATAAAAGTTTAAGAACATGAACGTCTATCACATAAAAATAACATGACCAGAACCGAACATTTTGCTTGCTTTCATTTGAAATTAATCAAGTTACTTGAATTTGTTTATAGAGCTATGCAAAATAAGCCATAAATCACTATACGACTATAGACAGTCTATGGGGCCTGGCTAACAACAACCAACAATTAAATCAAGCTACTGCTACTAATCATTGTAAATACCTACAGCTTATTCTCAAAAATGTTTTTGGGAAGATATAAAAATAAGTTTTTAATGTGTGTGCGGGCACTTGTTTTAGAAGAACTCAAATTAGATGATCTTAAAATCGGAAAGAGCACTAATGTCAGGTATGTTCGAACTGATTGACAATTATCGGAAAGTGAAAAACAATCATGACAATTTATAAAAAAAAGAATGCTAAATTTAAATAAGTTAAATGTAAATAATAAATATCAGATAGATTGACCTAAGAAAAGCGAAGTTGTTCATTTCTTGTTGCAGTACGTAGGTATTTTACTTCACGTTTATTGTAAGAAATTATTTTCGCGTGGCCGGGGTAAACCTCAATTAATATCTGCAAACATTCTCGGCCACTACCGTGACGTCACACGCAGCCGTGTCAGGTCAGGCGCGATTGATTCTCAATGATCCCCACACTAAACCCAAAACTAATTGATTTTGCGTGTGTTATTACTCTTTAGTGTACAACTAAAGTTTATACTCATTTCAAATATTTTGTAATAATTTTATTTATTTTTTAATTATTAATAATATTATTTCAATCTCAATTTTAACTATCAAAGAATTGTGCTTATAATATTTGTCTATATTTCAAATCGATTGATATACTGATACATATTTTAATTTATCGATGGTTTGTGTTCCCGGATATTACTAGTTTAGATTAGACATTATTAGAGCAGCTGCAGTTCTTGCTTGCTTGCTGCTGGGGGTTTTAGGCTTGTAAAAATAAAATCTACATTTATTAATAGTTACAAGGCGGACACTGTGTAGAGCTTTGAGTTTGCTCCCTTACGTAGTCTTGAACGTTGAACCTGTTGGGATCTTTTTGACCAGTTTGTCGATATTTCAGTTCTCTGAAACCCAAAACGAGTACACATCAATAAAAAATTATTAAGCGTTTATCGATCAACAAACTTAGCTATTGCGTGAAATGCCAAGTCCACGTTCTGTCCACTTTTTGCCGACGTCTCCATAAATGTGACATTGTATTCTCTGGCTAGACGTTCGCCTTCTTCTCTTCTAACAGCCCTGTCGCTACCACAGTCAGCTTTATTGCCTACAACAGATTCGAACAAAGGTTGTAAATCGCTGTATACATATATGTATAACTATAAAATATACAAAATGTATAATTTATAAAAACAGAAAAAATTGAAATTTGAATGATTAATAAGAAAAGAAGAAAAGATAAAAAAGAATTTTCTTATTATCAAAAAAGTCAAACGATGACGAATATCATTAAGCAAGTAGAGATATTTGTACGTTCAGCAAAACGACTTCTAGGAACTTACCAAGTAACATTATTACTACATCATCTTGCGCATATTCGTGAATTTCGCCAAGCCACGCCCTCGTATTGTCAAAACTAGTTTTATTTGTGACGTCATACAGTAAAAGCAATGCTGCAACAAGAAAATTAACGTGTATGCAAAAAAGCGTCAGAAGCCAACTCAGTAACCTAGAGCGTTGCCTAGCTTGGGATTAAAAATAAAGAAACAGAAATGTTTCGTTATTAAAATTAGAGGATCGTGAATATGTAATTAAAAAAGTATTTGTTAAAATATTTTGCCGCTGCAACATAGTTGCCTTACCTATGCTTGATGATTTTGAAGCCAGCATAAAAAATGTCGAGAAGAGATATTCGATATGCGCATGCGCGACTTATTTCAAAATTCTCTTTCAACCTGTCATTTTAAATCTCATTTCAATAAATATGGACGCTAATAGTTCCTCATTTTGGATGTGACATTTTTTGGACAGTATTTTGTCTAAATGAGTTATGGATACGGACATCACTATTTAGAAAGAAAATGGTGCAATAAACAGGTTAGTGTGTGAAATATAGGGGCACACGGATCATTTTCTGTACGAAAATGTCACAGCCGCTTGACACGCATAATTTTTAAGGTATTTGAGGCCTTTATTTATATTATCTTATAGCTGTTAGTTGAGTTAACACTTAGTTTAGGTTATATGATGCTTAGCGTTAGTTTAAGCATTAAAACTAATCCCCCTTTAAATTTTTGGATGGATTGAGGGGTCGATTGGTACCTCATTCGAAAAGTTATTAAAGTATTGAAATTATTTCGTAAAAAATGTGTTGTCCAATTTGCTTTCGTTGGCACAAATCCGTTTTCCAAATTGTATATTAGATATTTTTACCGTGTGCGTCTCTGTAGTAGGCATGGGTAACACTCCTGAATCTTTCTTGTCCCGCGGTGTCCCAAATTTGGAGTTTCACTTTTGTCTGCTCTACTTCTACCACTTTGGTCTACAACATGCAAAGATATATTAATATCAACGTCGACTAACATTAAATTTTACTGTATAGCGGAGTCCATAGTATGTAATGGAATTTATATTAAACGAAAAGTTAGTGTACCCTCACCAATATGGGAAAAGCGAGTATGTTGTAAGCGATTTTTGACTTTTCTAACTCTATCTAACTTGACCTAAGTTAAAGTATTTTCATATCACATGTGATCTCCGCATTGACGTAAATCTCATTACCTGTATTTTTTTTTATTTCACTTTTAAAAAACTTTATATGATTCAATGTGGAATCATCTACATAAATATGCCTCACCCTAAAGTCGACTCCAACGGTTGATATGAAATTTCCGGATAGAAACAAGCCATCGCGAAATCTCATCAGCATGCAAGTTTTTCCCACGCCGGAATCTCCTAAAAGCATTACCTGAACCCAAACAATTACTATTTGGCTCCATTATTAATTAAACTTTAAACAATAAATAATTTAAAACTCTTTACGGTAAAGAATATGGCACCCACAACTAAATTTTAATATTTGGAATAATTGATAACTGAGGTGTTATCTATATATACCTCTATGTATTAAGAGCCATTATTTAGTGTAGAATTTTTTTTTCAAATACACCTGTGGCGGGTGTACGGAATTTCACATGCCTATTTTGGCACGATACTGAGGTAGCAAAGGGTCGTCAACATGACGTCATTAACAAGTTACCAAATGACGAAAATGAAGTTATATATGACGTCATCAGGACGTAAATTTGACCTACTACTACTACTCAGACGAATGTCATTTAAAAGACGTCTTTTTCACGTCAATTGTGTCCTCAGTTTTTATCATTTAAGTGAAATCCTTTTTGCGTAAACTTAAGGTCAGATTTTTGGCCTTTATATGGGGAAAATGTAAAATCGAAAGTAAATTACACAGAAAATGGAGAATTATAGGTAATAAATAAAGACGAGCCTTTTAAAAAAAAAATTAATAATGGAAGTATAATATACAGGGTCTTTCACGAAAATTAATATTTTTTATTTTCACGCACCATGTATAAACGATACGAACTAACTTCAAGACGATATTGTTATAACAATGCGGAGAAGAGGTTTTTATTTTTTGTAAGCAAAAACCGTACATCGTTTTGAAAAAAATCAAGAAAATAAATTTCTGTAGAAATGATTGGATATTGTAATGATAATTTTCATTCTAAGAGACATACATTATATATATATATATATATATATATATATATATATATATATATATATATATATATATATATATATATATATTCCGGGATATCATCCGTTCGCTCGTTGAACTCCGACTGGAATCCTGCATCCGACTGGAATCCTGCAAATCCTGCATCCGACTGGAATCCTGCAGACGTTTCGCCAAAATTTCACTTGGGATCTTCAATGCTCGCGCCCCGAAAACACTTCGAACACTGGTTTTTGGCGAAACGTCTGCAGGATTCCAGTCGGATGCAGGATTTGCAGGATTCCAGTTGGAGTTCAACGAGCGAACGGATGATATCCCGGAATATAGTGTCATCATATTATATATATATATATATATATATATATATATATATATATATATATATATATATATACAAACTTTTTTCTTATTTAGTACAGGTTCTGAGATAAGGTGTTGTCGTCACATGATAAAGGGGCGACCCTATATAGGAATTTATTTTTCAATATTCGGCGATATCACCAAAGTTAGCGGTTTTTATATAAATATACAGAGCAATGTAACTATCCTATGCAAACGAAAAACAATAAATTTAAAAATGACATAAGGAAAATCTATATTGAAATTACCTTTACGTAAATGTCGTAAACGTTATTTTTCATCGATTCTCTACGTTTAATAGTGTAGGGGTCGAGAATTTCTTCTTCTGTTTTAATATGAACATCATTATTTTCCATATTAACCTCCTCTTCCGCTTCTCGCTGGACCTGATTGTGTCTTTTGATGGATTTTACCCTAACCACGTTCCTATGTTGACTCTCACCATTATCCATTTTACGTAATTTTCGAATACTTTAGTTTTTAAACTGCATCCTTCTAACAATTTTTTTGGAAGATCTTTTTATATCACAATTTTATTGTTTTTAAAGATTCGAAGTAAAAAATTACATCGTATAGAGGTAATAATCTGTGGAGATGTTCGTGCCTAGAACTTTATTACTTATTAAAGTAAATATTGTTTTCTCTAGGATTATCGGAGATTGATAGTAAACACAGGGAACTAATAAATTTTTCCTGCGGAAAATCAATCTCTCGGAGATAATAAATAATAAATCCATGTCATTTCCGCTTGCGATATAAGTTTCTCAAATTGTATTTTATTTTATTTTTATTTTTAAAATAAATTTTACTTTACTTTTATTTTTTTAGTTTTAGTCTTATTGTATTTAAGGAAAATCATGTTGCAGTTTTCTATTGCTAAAAAGAACTATTGTCGATTAAATATGTTTGTATAGGTTGTGTTCATACTTTTAAAGCCTGAAAAATTACTATTTGCAGGTGAATAACACAACTTATCCACTATAAGAACATTGTCACTCAACCGTAATAAATAAAAAGGACAGAAAAATTAAAAAGAAAATTCCATATCCATTTCCTACACGACCGAAGATGTTTTAATTTACTAAATTATCCGATTTATTTAATTCAGTTAATTAAAGAATATTCACATTAAACAACAAAAGACAAATGTAAGGAGTATTTAAATAATTTTGTGATTTTGTCAAATGGAAGTCAAAATGAGTTAAAGATATGTTTACTGTTTATACTTCCTACACTAGGCGAAAAATTTGTTTAAATCAATTAACTTATTTAAAACAATATTTTAATTGGACATGTGAACCTTGAGCGCCGTAATTAATTATACTTTCGTCAAGTTGTTAAATGGTTTTTTTTATTACTTTTTTTTTTAATTTTTTGAGTGGATAGTCAAATTGACAAATTTTTCAAATTCAGAACCGATAAATAACGTGATTTTAAAAAGAAATGCAATTTAAGCGAAGTTGAATTTTATACTAAAGTTCCGACCGATTCTGGGGCGATAAGTGGACAAAGATAACACGGGTCGCTTACTTTCGATCGAATCTCTATTTGTAACAGTGAAAAAGCGTTGGCGGCAGGTATCTGTAATAATAATGTAACCTACTTTTAGGAACATGAAATATTAAATGACAAAAATCGGTTAAGATTGATTTTCTCCATATACGGTAGACGACATGACAGTTAAATTTTCTTTGCGGGCGAACCTCATTAATATTAAACGCAAGGCAGCCTGAAAACTGATATAACTTTTTAAATTTCCTGTCAAACTTTCGTATGCAGCTGATGCAGTATACCTAGACATTCTAATTGCACCTAAATAAAATCACAATGTATAAGACCGTCACGGAAGCTCAAACAATCATTAATAAAGAACGAATAGAGCTGACCTCAAGCGGATAGGCAAAATTAACTATGTTTTAAGTATTATTTCTTTGAAATTATCGAAACATTGGCAAATCATTTTGTGCGACAAACCGCAGTACCAGCTTAGATAAGCGCTGGCTAATAAAGCTCGTTTCCAGGTTTGACATTTGATATTTAATGTCTTGAAAAATACCCTTCATATGTATATTTAACGATCCCTGACTTCACACGATAAGTTCAACGATGCCGGAAACCGGTTCCAAATCTTTGACATCGAATCAATCAGCTTTTTGATATATCAAGCAGCTAATGTCCTTTGTTGTATGATTCCATATAATTATCTCGATTCGTTTTACATATTCTTGATCTATGCGTTTATTGCCCTTAAACTTTGACTCAAAAATTAAAAATAAAATTAGAAATAATAAATAAATGAACTTAATAAATTCATATGCTTAACTGTTACTATCGCTATCAATTGTTTTTCACATAACCTATATGTATATAATACAAAATTTTGGCCGATTAACTCGAAATTAAAAAAAATAGTTTTTGCTAGTGCCAGTGATGTAAACTTCGGGATTTTTCATGGAAGAATGCCAAAAAACCGAATTTATTTGTATTTGGTAAACGAATTGTTATTGTGGTGATCCAGGACAAATTTTAAAATGTCTGTATATCGTAAAAGTATTCGAAATAACTAAGGTGTTTTGTACGTCAGTTGCAAACAATTGTTTTTCCATAAACGTAAAAATATGTATATCCCTTAAAATTGTTCCAAAATAAGTAATATTCTTAATTTAATATAAGAAATAGTTTGGACCTCGCGTAAAATATATTTTCAAACCAAGTGAACACTGTAACTATGGAAATAAAATGGCAGTTAATAATTAATTATTGTTTAGAAGCAAATATTTCTTGAATTTTTGCTTGATTGAGGACCACAAAGGGTAAAATATAAACATCTCGCACGCACGCGGTGTCATGGTAACGCAACAAAAAGAAAAAAAGAGTGTATATAAAAAAATCATATAAAATTTCAGAATCCTAGGACACTATTTCTTTTTAATTTCAGTTTAAAAATTGAAAAACAAAGTAAATATATATTGATTTAAATCAAATCAAGCCAAACGATTGCAGTATTTTTCCAATGAAACATCACTCTACCACATGAAATGCTTATAACGTGCCTTTTTAAACCGATGATGGTGACAACGCAACTTACCAAGAAGTTAGACGTTTTATGCCAAAATTTATTGTTTAAGTATTAATTCGCAAAATGACAAAAATGTTGCACATAACAACGACGAATGCTTACAAATAGTACTAAAGCATAAAGAGAAGTTAATTTTGGAAATACGAATATTCAGAATTAGTTAGGTTTTCTTCGGTCATAAGGAAATAAAAAAAATCCAAAGATACAGCCAGATCAGATCACATTGATTCAAAAAATGGCTAATAAATTTCAGCATATTTATTGTTTTTAAGATATTTATAGAATTCCAAGCGTTACCAATTTTTAAATTATGAATTTTACTTTGACAAAAATAATCACGCAACTACCTTCCAGTTGAAGTTTCCTTCGCATTATTTATCAAATAAAATTGAACCACACGAAACTATCCTGAAATACGCTCGAAGGCTTTTCTGACATTAATAAAAATGTGAAACGTAAACCAGAACAAAAAAATTATATAAAATTGTCATTGTTGGGCAAATAACAAACGCACTTTGGCAAATTAAGAATACCTGCTCCTTTTTTGTCTTTACTTCTTAGAACACTCCAGATATTATTACCTTTATTAATATACGAAATAAGTTTAAACCAAATTTATGCTCCGAGGTTATTATTTTCCACCACTACACTTGGTTCAACAGCCGTACAAAGTTCTTATCGTTACTTATCGCAATAATTATTATTTACAACGCGACAGACTTCCGAGTGTATATTATTAAACCTTCCGTCAAACTCATTCATTTATCGGCAACACAAAACTAGACTAGCGATCAGCACTCGAATATCGCGCTTGCCAGGAAGCACCGTCAGGATTTTGATGTTTCTATGACTACGTGTTCCAGACCTGTCCGAATAAAGGTTTGCCAACGGGCATGGTTAAACCTTTGAGAGAGACTCCGCGCAATCTGGCTAATTGATACGTACCGAAAGTTGTTCGGTAAAAAACTAAAAATCATTTTTCATACATATGTATCATATCGCTCTTTTTGTGTTTGTTTTTTTTACATTCAAAACAAAATAAAAAAACTTTTGTGGTCAATAAAAATATTTATAACGTAAATATCATACAATTGCAACAATAAAATAGCCATATTGATTACAATAAGCAATACTGCAACTTTTTTGTATAAAGAACATTTATTAATTAATTTCTTTGATTTAAAGAGGCATATGCTAGGCATTAGATCTGAAAGCGAATGATAAAAATCAATTTTATTCATTCATTCATATATTAAACATGTTATCCTTTTGTTATAACACATTTCATCTTTTCTTATTCTGTATAAAATAACCAGCGAAAATAAATTCAAAAGAATAAGATTTCATTCAACAAGAAGATAATGAAAAAATTGGGAAAAATTCTTACATTTAAAAAAATATTGTTAATATTGTGTTAACAGCACAACAGTAGCGTGGTGTTTTCTCCATTTATGTCAGAGCGAGGTTTAAGTCGTATGCTATAATTTAAATTTTCCTGTACAAATAATTTGCGCAGTAACATATCTGTAATATATTGCAGCTTACTATTTATTTTGGTTTTCTTATTGAGAGTGTTTCCATAGTCCATAAAATAATAAGAGATATCCGAACAAGATTAAATACCTAAATAATATTATTACTCTGCCTTTTCTTCAAAAGGGTGTTTTTTTTAAATATGTAAAACTAATTTGACGCAATGGACTGGACATAATTTGCAGAAGATTATTTTAATTGCTTAATATTTGATAATAATAATAATAATAATGTTTATGATTCCAAATTATAGTATGTACATGGCAAGTTATATAAAGGTATACAAAGGGTCTTAATGCAGCTTCCTTTCCAGAGGAAGATGCTGTTGTAGCCAACTAAACTTATAACAATAATACATATTACAACATTTCATATTTGCCTTAAGTAAAATAATCGAAGTTTGCTATATATAGAGAATGGTAGAAGAATGACAGGGTACAAAGAAAAAGAAAGGAAAGAAGACAGGGCTACAGAAAAAGAGTAAAACAGATATTTCTTTATTCTTCATTTATAAAGAAAATTTAAAATTCATCACCATATATAACAAGGAATATTATAGCAACTTTCAAAAAATCCGCATTATTATTTAATTATAAATATTTAATTTTAAATAAGATAATATTATAAAAATGGTTTCCATTTTATAAAAAGTTTTTAATCGTTTTTTCAATTGCTAAACAAACGTTTCTATGATTTGGACTAACCATAATAAATGATTCAATTGTTGGATGTCCCAAGCAAGGAGAAAACGGGATTTTAACTTGATTCCCATATAAGAGTGCACCTATATACTTGCATTTTATTTTAAAAAAATCTTTTTATAAAAATTGTTGAACTCAAATTCAATGAATTATATTACGTTACTGCTAAATTGTTATGGATTTCTCTAGACAATTTTAATTCATTTAAAAAAAAATTATTATTTTATGATTTATTCTTTTCATTAATTATTTTATTAGCGAACAAGACAAATAATGGATAATAGAAAATTATACGAATGTGTATATAATTTAAAAATAATTTTGCGTTTTCATTCTTGTCCATTTATCGTATTCTTGACAGATCTGCTAAGAACAAACTGTCTGCTAAACAATCGTAGAAGCTTTGTCTAAGATCTATTTTTTTTAAAAATACTGCAATTATTGCATTATTTATAAATATTTTATTTAAATTTTAAAAATTAAATTAAATTTTAAATTTTTATTATAAATATTTACGATATATACAATCACACATAGCTACCTAAATATTTAATTTTAAATAAGATAATATTATAAAAATGGTTTCCATTTTATAAAAAGTTTTTAATGGTTTTTTCAATTGCTAAACAAACGTTTCTTTACCAAAAAAGTTATTTAATTAAAATTAAAAAGATCCGCAACGGTAATATTTATAGAAAATATTAAATACCTACCTAATACTCAAAAACGCCAACATTTAGCTATGGGACAGTATTAAAGGATATATACGAAATACGTTTAGAATTTTCAAAGGAATTGCAAAACGGGATAACATACAGCAATCAAGTAATCAAGTTGACGGACAAGCATCTGCATTTTAAAATATTTTAGCCGGTTCCATAATCAACTTAAAACAATCCAATTTTTTCAAACTTTTTGTAATTATAGTTTCCTATGAGGAGCGATGAAGTTCCCGGTGGAATACCCTCACCATATTGTATAGACACAACAAAGATATTTTGACATTAATCCTTATGCCAGATGTTTTATTAACTCCTAAGTTTTTTTATGAAAATGATATTAATTTAATCCTTTACAGTCCCATATACTAACTACAATTAGAATCAGATCAATCAGAAAGGTTAGAGCTGTGTGCTATCCTCTTTCACAGATTTTCGAAATTGCAAGTAATATTAACGGTTGTTTTACTATTGGAATAATAAACAAAATAGCAAATAAAAAGATCGAAGGTAAACGGAACCCTTTGAAGAGACGTTACAAAGCGTGTCCGTGAGTCAAGGCGGGCTTTAACTCAGCGACTGTAATCGTTTCACGTGACGTTCAGGCCAGGAAATTGAAACGATAAGATAAGGATTCCCCGGAGAACTTAATCAATCGAGCTCTTGCTTTTGTTAAATTCGAATACGGGAAATATAAACGTGTCCAAGATTGGCACTATACAGAACGAACACGACATTTAGATTTCTTTAAAGAAGATGCTAGTAACAGCATGATGCACTTATTAATTAAGGTATTCCCTCATTAATTTTAAATAATTTTCGACGCTATCTGGCTAAAATTAATTTTAAGAACGGTAAAAATCAATAAATTGATGAATTTATTTAATGATGGTGAGTGATAGGCTACAAAGTAAATCTTATTAGCTCGTTCTTCAAAATTTTCTACCCCCATTATAATAAAAAATATCAAACTCTTACAAAATTGGCATTGTTTTCGGGGAAATTTTTCAAAATATTAAATGCAGATTGGTATGTAATTTACAGTAGCATATACTACATGGAAACGATGGCTTAGGATAACTGTAATTATTGGTACTACGAAACTGGTTCAGTATATTTTGAATATCCTTGTGTTGTTACTATTATTAAGGTTATAATAAAAATTGTTGAATCTATTTTCCTTTCCCATACCTCCCTTAAAGTTTACTGTATTCTTAATGTAAAGCAGATCAAATTCTTTATTTGATGTAGGCCTAATAAAACGTTTTCTATGATTTGGACTAACCATAATAAATGATTCAATTGTTGGATGTCCCAAGCAAGGAGAAAACGGGATATTAACTTGATTCCCATATAAGAGTGCACCTATATACTTGCATTTTATTTTAAAAAAATCTTTTTATAAAAATTGTTGAACTCAAATTCAATGAATTATATTACGTTACTGCTAAATTGTTATGGATTTCTCTAGACAATTTTAATTCATTTAAAAAAAAATAATTTATTATTTTATTATTTATTATTATTATTAATTATTTTATTAGCGAACAAGACAAATAATGGATAATAGAAAATTATACGAATGTGTATATAATTTAAAAATAATTTTGGGTTTTCATTCTTGTCCATTTATCGTATTCTTGACAGATCTGCTAAGAACAAACTGTCTGCTAAACAATCGTAGAAGCTTTGTCTAAGATCATTTATTTTTTAAATACTGCAATTATTGCTTATATATACTTAATAGGCGTAGAGAAAAGCGAAAGAGCGCGTGCGGGGGTATCTGTGTTGATAAAGGAGAAATGGAGTAAACACATTAAGTCGTGGGAAGCCTTAAATGAGAGGATTATTAAAACCTGTTTAGAAATCAGAGGACGAAATATCACCGTTTTGGGAATTTATGCACCGAGTGACAATGCCCCATCCGCAGAAAAAGATGAATTTGAACAATTGCTTGAACACCAGATGGACAATACAGCTGACTCACATGAAGTGATTAGTCGGAGACTTTAACGCCAGAGTGGGCAAACAAAACACCAGTAATATAGTAGGTCGACATGGAGAGGACGCAATTAACAACAATGGCGAACGACTAATAAACTTTTGTCAACAATACGCCCTCAAAATAAACAATACATTCTTTGCACATAAAGACATCCATAAATTTACTTGGTACCAGCATACAAGAAACCTAAAGTCTATTATTGATTATATAATTACTAGACAAACTTCAAACCTGCAAGTGCGAGATGTGAGAGTCAAAAGGGGTGCGGATTGTGGATCAGACCACTACTTTGTCGAGGCAAAAATATATATTCCATATCCTTGGAGGAAACAGATAAAAAATCCAGAAACAGAATCCTACACATTTGACCCAAGAATTATTAGATACAATCTCAATAGCCTAGAGCAGGAAAGCACAAGATATCTATACCAACAGAGACTAGCCCAAAAAATTAAAACAGGAAGACAAGAAAATCGAACAACACAGGAAGAGTATGATTTCATTATAGAGTGTATAACAGACGCAGCAAACCCTATTGGTGGGATAGGGACATTGA